TTTCTTTCAGTTCACTTCACGATTCGAATCAATTTCCTATTCTGTAGTATTTACTATTTACTGGATACGTTGACAGCCGAAATCAACAATCGAATTGAATTGCTCAACAACGTTCGACAGTCAAATGATCAATTATAGAGTGTATTTGATAGAATGAGAATTTGATTTTGATTGTTGAGTGAAATGAATGAGAAATTAGCAGAAGAGAACATTTTTGGTGATAAATGTTATGAGAGCGATTACAGCAGCAAGGAAAAGAATGAAAACTCTGTTAAAACAAGCGAAAACCCTGTTAGGCAGGGACGAGCTAATGATATTCATTGGAGAATGAAGAATGTTGCGATCAACTAACCGCATTTACATATCGGAGTTGAAAAGCAACATCATGCGTTCTATCATAAAATAACAACTGCACGACATACTAATTCCCCGACCCTGTCCATTACCCCTTGACACCAAATTACCCAAAATGAGTAATTTCACCCCCTATGAGAACCACTGTTTTAGACAGTTTTTGTTCTCTTGCATTCACTAAAAAGTTTTGATATTCGTTGGATACATTTTACATGATTTGTTAAAAATACGTGTTGCTGTTAAGAGAATATAAAGTATGCACGTTGCTTTTACATTCTTAATCCCCATTTCAACTGGAGAGAAGAGAATAGGATGGTGCGTTAAAAGAAGAAATCAAACAATTCAGTTATTATTGCGTGATTATTTACAATCAGACAACAACAATTTATTACATTTCGTTTGTTCATTTGTTCATATTATTGCACAAGAATAACTTGTATGGGAAGAAGGAGAAGAAAAGGTATGAGATGCCCTTTGTTATGATGGATTAATCGAGAGTATTGCATCGGTATCCTCTTTGGACTCAATATCGACTGCTTTACAACAATATATTGCTGATGATTGCATTAACAAATTGTTTGAAGTTGGACTAAAAGCATCATAAAAAACATCAAAAGTCCATAAAATAAACTTTGCTGTAATGATTTTAGCCACACGTTGTATGGCGTTTCATTATTGCGAGAATGAATCCCGATCGAAGAAAGTCGTCTGCAGCTACCTCGGTGATTGCAGGAATCATCTGAAAATTTGATCAAACCATTTTAGGGCAAAATAAAACTAATTACGGGCAAATTTTTATGGTCTCTTAATACCTTTGATGGTGCTTCTCGAAATGATTTTGTTCTGCAAAGTAAGGCACCGAGGGAATATTGAGCGGTGTGATCAGACGTTGGTCGAGAGTGCCCAGAGGGGAGAATTGGCCATCAAGAGAGGGCCGACTTTGTGTTTATCCTTACCTGTTCTCCATAAGAGAGCGCTGCTACGGCTCATTGGCTGACTTCTGCATGCCTCTTTTGATTTTGCAGAGCAGTTGCACGTGCCATTCAATTCTTATAGGTGTAAACAAATGTATAACAGGAATTCTTTGACTAGTCTGTCAAGATCACAGCATTAATTTAAAACTTTTTCGAAACTGTTTCACTCATTTTCAATCTTCTGAACATTCATACTTGTTTGTGCTCAATGAAACATTCTCGATGAAACTTCGAACGTTCTCGATTCATCCAATGAAACAAACGTTGGTCGGCAATACCCAGAGGAGAGGATTAATTACATAACGCTACAAACTTTTTCGAATTATGGACAGAATATGCGTTTCTTGAAACCTGAGACTCACAGCAAGTACTGTTGCGTATGCAGTAGCTGATACCTGAAAATGGTTTAAATCTTTCCTCGTGTTGCAGTACAGCCAAAGGTTGTTTTCATATCAGGGGCAGTGAATTTTGTTTGCAATATCTGATGGATAAGTATCATCGAAACTGAAAACAATATCATAAGTGCTTGTCAAGACTGTATTATGCAATGCTCAATTGTCATAAGCATGCATGCGTCTTTTATGACTTTCATTGTGCGTTTACGATAATCTTTTCATTGAGAGTGCATACAAATGCATACGTTCATTTCACGTGTGCTGCTTATTCATGTCATTTCGCTAAGGAATCTGTCAAATTCGCACAGCTCTCCGGAACTCTGTTCTTCAAATTATAACACCGCAGTAGATGAGGGAATTCAGCCGTGGATTATTGAATTTTTAAGAGATCAAATTTTTCCATGCATTCCATGTATTGAAGAAATATATTCTTCATGAAGCAGTCAGTTGTTGATACAAATCAACTCTATATTCAACTAACAAACACGCTCTAATCCTGCAGAATTTATTGTTCTTCCAGATTTCCATGAACAAGACAACACCAAAAACTTTCGGATTGCATTGCGTATCAGAGTCATTCACTTACTCTTGATTATTTACTTCTTTACGATATCGCATTCAAAACTGAACAATAGAACATAACTTTAGTTCTCATAAACCGAAGATGGAACAAAAGATTGTATTGTATGTAACAAAAAGGATATGTGTTCGGATGTATAACTTTGAATATTGCCATTATATGCCACAGTATACACGATCGTAAATCATCATTTAGTTGTCCGTCAACGCAAAACATATAACTGCAGTAAGTGATTATTGCGAAAGCATTTACAACTGTTCCACTGAAAAAGTTATTTCCCAGCAGCAAAGTAAAGTTAGTAGTCTATTTCGCGCATCCTCTCCGTTAAACCCATACAAACTTATCATCATCATCATCCAATTTGCCCGCCTCCTTGCAACTTACTCAAAGGAAGAGTTAAGTGGATATCTTAACACACGGCATAGGAACAGATAAATAGTTGGGATTTTGGGGATTTAGTGAGATTTGGACGTGTCGTGTGACCAGACATCTATCTATCTATCTAGTGCGTTGTAAGCATCTGGCCTCCCTATAAGGAAGTATACCGACTTTATTTAGTAGTGTTTCTTTGATTGACGCACGTCTTTGCTCATTTGCATCGTACGATCGAAGAAATGAAACCATACATGAACCTAATGACGGGTATTGAGGTAGATCGACGACAACATCATGAAAGGTTTGCCTTCCGCATTGTTACTGAATGTCTTTTGCTGGATTTTTGCTATTCATTCCGCTTTCGTTTAAGGACAAAAAATTCACGATTATGTACGTGAAACAGCCACCCCAAGAATCTCTCACAATTCATGGTACTTTTGGATTGTAAAATGTCAAAAAAAGCTTTGTAGAAACTTCTTCACAATAGCTTCGAAAAGATAGGTGAAAAAAGTTTCATGGTGAGGAAGAAAATTTTTGAGTGAGAAAGGTTTTTGTTTTGCAGCTCAAGAAGATTTGTCCATGATCACTTCAACGGCATAAACCGGCAACAGCATAGAGAACTAACTGAAGCAGTTGCAAAACGACGATCAAGATCAAATCGAAAGGTTTGTGTAAGTTTAGTTTTATGACGTTGTTTTATGTTGCCTTACGGTCGGATATTGCTTCAACTTGTGAGTTTGATGGCGAAATTTGTGCAAATGAATGATTTAGATTCATTTTGAGGAAAGAAAACGTAATGAAGAAATGAATCAAGCCTATGCACAACTGCAAAAGTGTGTGCCGCACATTCCGATCGATCAGAAACTGCCGAAAATTAAAACATTACGACTCGCACTTCGCTATATTCAGCATCTACAGGATGTTTTGAGAGGAGATGAATTGGTTAGTGAATCTTCATGGCAACTTTATTCCACAAATCATTCGTTTAAACGATGAACATTTTCATCTTTCATTCTTAAAACATTTGAGTGTTCGCAAAGCAATTCATTGTTCGGATTCTTACGCTGTGTAGCTGTCTATGATTTGTATGTATATTCAGCATGGACGAGCGATAACATGATTAAATTCCTAAATTCACTCCTTACCACAATATGTTGCCAGTTGTATTAATTTGATGAATGAACGATTGTTGGTACTTAAGTGATTCGACCCGCCAATGTCACTAGCAGCAGCATCAATCCTGATCAAAGAATAGCCCAATTGATCAAGCATTTTAATCTGATCGTGAATAATTTCAGTTTCGTCCATCATTTTCAAACGAATTAAGACCACTCGAATTGGAAGATTTCGCTTCAGTAGCAATGGCCGAGGTGCAAGCCAGGAACAACTACAAAGGTTAAACACAAATATTTCGTTTTAAATGATCAGTATTTCTGAATGAGTGTGTGTGAGTATTTGATGAGTTCATGAGTATCTCTCAACTTGAACTCATTTCAGCACTCAATATCTATTGACGAACGCTGAACTCTGCGAGTACTTTCTGCGATAATCAAATCCGTTAGATTTTAGGTGCACAAAATACGGAAAATGTTTCTTAAGGAATGTTTTTTTTGAATGTTATGATGCAGTATACCCACTCCATAGTCTTGAAATTATTGCCGTGAACATCGAATAACGTGTATATTTGAGCGTTTTGAGACAAATATACCTAACTACGAAGTATCATGAATTTACTGGACCAATGATTTTCAGATAGAGCTGAGCGCGAGGCAATGCGTGGAATTCCAACTGAACATATCTGCAGACGCTCCTCGTTTTCGCTAAGTCCCTATTCCTCCACCTCACCTGCAGAAATACCACATTATCAGCATATGTACATGCAGCATGAAGTTTCGCCACTCACTGAACAACTATCGTCACAGCAACTATCGTTACCTTCTCCTGCAAATCTCCTTATGAATACCACAAATATCGTTATCAATAATACCTTTACGCCCTCACAATCCACTCATGCAACACAACATTATTCATGCTGATGCTATTGATGCTACACGTCTGGTTATTTCACGCTTATTTTAGACTTAATTCAATGGCAATTCAGCTGGTGCACCTCTTTTATTCAATCTTTTATGCAATGGAAAGAGTCAGACTCTGTTTGAGGTAACTCAACCTCAGACTAAGGACTTCATGCAAAACTTAGAGAACGAAACATGGGGGTGGTAACCTATGCTATGTTTTATGTGTGTATTTGAGGGTGGGAACCTATATAATGTTTCATGTTTGTGATGTTTATTATGTTTTTATGCAGTACTTGTGCTGAATGCTGGATAATTCAGCTATGAAGATATTAGTATTGAGATTACGAAGTGAAATAAATTCGCATTTATTGGTTTCAATTTGTTCCATAATATGAGACGAATCCATCTCAAAAATTTTGTGAAGGAAGAAATCATCTTCCCAATGTGAACATTGTTATTCGCCTGTTGACAAGAAACTGAATAGTATAAATTGGATATCTTTTGATGGTTACTATCACATCTTAATTAAGTTATCCACTCAACCAGATGAAATTTGTTTGTGCGATAAAATGATGATGATCTGAATGTATCGGATCTGTAGGTCTTCAGTGAACACAAGTGCCATTTAACGCATATTTGGATTATCTTTAGTGGTCACACTCTCATTTTGTAGAAGTGGTGAAGTTTTTTCAAACTGTCTTTCTCGTGTGCGTTAAATAATTCAGTGATTAAAATTTATTATAAAATAGACGAAACTATTCGCGACAAGCCAAATACTAACTACAAGCCATGATGAAACTGTTGTGGAAATTGAACTGCGCATATCAAGAGGAATAAGTGCTGTGTTGGACTGTATGGTTGGCGACAGTAAGATGTTGGTAAACGGCTTGAAGTGGTAAACGTTGTTACGCAATCTAAAGTTGCATGACCTGCTCAGAATGACTCGTCAGATACGCAGTTCACATTCGGGGGTCCAATAAACGGTCATATAGCTGCTATATTGTAATTGAGAGAACGAATTGCAAGCATATTGCATTCACCTAATGATAGGAGCAATAATAATAAATCTAATAATAACAATACGATCAGCAATAAGACAACGACCATAACCAATAATGATCTGATTTTGCAATGCGAAACATTGCAGTAAACACATATTGCTGAATAGGCTTATATGTTTACGTGCATGCATCGTCAGACTCGTGCGTATAAGTTGACACTTCAGAAAAATGAGATTAAGTGCGATTATCGTACTGAACAACAGCGTATTGTATTCAGCGAGACTGTAGCATCATTTGTTTATCTTACTGTTAGTTGAACTTTAGTTGATGCAGTTGCTGAAATTGAATATGAATCTCAATTGGACAAGATTGCAAAATAAGCTAACATTTAAAGATAAGATCCTACTTGTTTCGAAATTTAAAATACTGTTTAATACCGAAACTGGAGTCTTATACTGTTTCGAAATTTAAAATATTAAAAATACCGAAACTGGAGTCTTATACTGTTTCGAAATTTAAAATATCTGCTCCCATGTGAGATCAATTTCTGGTGTATATCAATACGCAATCACAACGGTCATTTTTCATGGAATTCCGCAGTTTGTTGAAGATATATAATTGTAAAATCATTAATGAACTGGCAATTTTACTAACTCTTCTAACAAAGAGTAGCAACCGAACTAGTCACAAAATGAATCAGCTGAGTTCTAGCCGATTGAACTCCACTGATTTAAATGTTGAAATGAAGTGAGTGTAGCAAGTTGCATTGCTAAAAGAGATCCGTTTTCGAAGCCTGTGCCCGTAAAAAGGAGCTGTTATTTTCTTAATCGATAATCAATTCATGATGAAACAGGTTCAATATGCTATTTTATCGATCTTATAAATCATGCAAGGAAGGCGCGAGAGAGCATCTTTTGATGGATCATTCATTACGGATTATCGTTTAGTTTGTGTTGATAATAACAGGTTATATAACGTTACGATGATAACGATAACGATAATCATTACGCATTGGCTGACAACTAAAACGCAAAAAACTTGTTTGAAGTAGCAGTCATCAGCATCGTTCTGTGTTGTTTTGCTCTCTCTTCAGTGGAACTCTTCTTCTTGATTGTTTGTTGTTTTCACTTTCATTTGCTACACGAAGTTTGGATGGGATTAGAAGATAAAAACAATATTAAACAGCGAAATCTTTGAATCTTGATGTCCATATCGAATGTTTTTCATGGAAATTCGCAAATTTTTGATCAACACTGCAAGAAGAATTCTGGCGGAAATGAATATTACTTGAGGACACTCTATCAAAAACAGCTTTATAAAAGACTGCTCTCAGTAACGTTGGGAAAATGTTCCGACTCAAGCTGTGATGAGCAGAAGTTATCGTGCTATTACTGCAGTCCATATCGCGTTCGATTTCATAAGCGACAACACGAACAGAATGACCTATTCTGCACTCCAAAATACTTGTTCAATTTGAGTTCGAAGTAGCGTGTTGTAGGGAATTTCAGGGATTTATCCCCGAAAATACCCGATTTTCCCCGTCCCCGACTTTTTTCAGCCGCGGACATTTTCGGAGAATTCCCCGTTCCCGACAATCCCCGATTTTCCCCGTCCCCGACTTTTCCAGAACTGTTGCCGTTCCCCGAAATTTCGAGAAATTCCCCGCTTTTCCCCGACAGTTAAATTTTTGTTGCTCTATGTATTTGTTATTACTTTCTTTGTCTCTTCTTGTATGTCGCTACTGGTGAGTGATGAATCATATAATTTATAAGAACATGCAGGATTCTAATCTGTAGTGGAGGAAGCGATGATCAAAGTAGTGTATTAGATAGCGCTGTCATATTTGATTCAAAATGATATTACTTATTAGCGGATATCACACGAAGAAATATTTCGCAATTCACACATGCAAATGAGTAGGATAACGGAGGTCTTACCCCATTGAGAAGTTTCTTTATGTCCTCATGAACATGCAAGAGCCGTCGATCGGCTGAATTCACCACAAGCCGTGTTTGTGTCCATTGTTTTGGGGGAAGTTCGGGGATCCCCGAAATTTCCCGTCCCCGACTTTTTTCTATCCCCACACCACACTAATTAGCAGCATGAGCTAAGTTAGTTACTCTGATTTATATAGGACACTGGAAAGGCATTCTCGTTCTATGTGGCATTCAGATCAAGATCAATCTCCTGTGAACAGATACTTTTGACATATATCTAGCAAGCATTTTATCTTCTGAGTTTATTTTAAAGATGTTTCGTTAACGATATAAAGATTCTCTCCGACGAATTTATTTTTCTAATAATTCTTGTTTGAGCAACTCGCTGAAGTTGATTTCCTGCTGCAAAATTGAATAGAAAGGGAGTTCCTTAAATATTAGAATTCACAGATAAAAAGAGTGCATACGACGATAAAGAAGAGAGATACGCAAAAAATGAATGAATGCATGAAAAGAAGTTAGCGGTCGTCTTGTGAATTCGTAATTATTGTTAGGCCATTAAAAAAAGAAAGTCGTAGTGACGATGGAATAAGAAGACGAATGAGAGATGACCGAATGAAAAGGACATCTGCGGATTCGTTGAGGTGAATGAAGCCAGATATGGAAGTATAGTGGTGAGCACTTGAACGAAATCGATGAGGATGATGGCCTCAGGTTAGTGAAACTGATCGTACACACGAACCAATTCTTGACCCTTTCAAATGGTAATCAAGATGGAAATCAAGATGGAAACAAGATTCAAAAATCAAGATGGAAACAAGATAAGATTCAATGATAATCACTCTGCAATTTCAATCATTCAGAACCTTCTGGTCCAGAAATTTTAGATTTACTTTAGGAATTGCTCATGCCCAGAATCTACTGCATAACTCTTCCTACCCTTCAGTACCTCTTCAGATGACTTCAATTCTTGATTGCAAACATCCTTTTAAGGCAGTTTGTTATGCCGGGTTTCAGCCAGTAATATTATCTTTGTTTTCCTGATGTGAGTAAGATCACGAAAAAAAACTCCACTTATAATGTCTGCGAATGGAATGTTAGAAGTGATTTGATTTATTTATATGATTTACGTAAGATTTATTTGATTTATTTGAAGTGAACGAAGGATAAGCGTCCGGCAAATAGTATGTTAATAATCGTGGCTTTGTTTTTGCGCATTTTTTTCGCTGAATAAAAATGCAAGGTAGTCAATTGAAGATGATGTTGACATGCGGCTTTTGGTGAATATATAAACTGCGTTCAGCATCAGTTGCGAGCATTATTATCAATTTTGCATTTTTGACGCTTGCTCGTTTGCCATTTACTTCAGTTCAGCGGTTATTTGTGTGTTGACCGTTGAATTTCATTGGACGATTTTCGCTTGTTTTGGTTTATTTACGACAGT